CACCCCATTTCCCTTGCCCCGGGCTCCTGGCCCCACTTCCCCCCAAGCACGAAGGCACTCATTACAGATTCACAGCTCCTTGTCTCGCGGGGTCTGAGATGCACATACTCAGCTTTGGTGGGTGGTCTTCCTGTCCCCTAACCTACAGGTGGTGTCCTCTGAGGAGCAGCCACTCAAGGCAGGTTTTTCACAGTCCCAGTAAAATGGACCACAGCCCGAGCTGCTGCCCCCCAGACAGCCCCAGAAGAGGGCCACTCTGGGCGTTTGAATTTCCAGTTGTTTCTGCAATGGATGCACCTGACTGTGGATCCCATGCTCGGGCTGTGCTCGGGGGGACAGGGCAGTGATTCCAGAGTGTGATCAGGGGCTGCACCCAGAGTGGGTCTTCCTGGGAGTCCGCCACCCTGCCGCTGCATGTACCCGGTCCGTGAGCTAACAGAGGCTTCTGGACAAGTCACTGTCGTTTGCCACCTGGAAAACGACCCTCCCCCTCCTCCGAGGATGAGCTGAAAGGGAAACCTCCCCTTCCTTCCCCGCAGGACCGAGTCCTTCCACTGCAGGTCCAGGTGCTCGTCTGTCCCTCACCCCCCACGATGTCTGTTCAGGCGCGTCGAGTCTGTCCCGCATTTCCACCCTCGCCCCTGGCACCTAGCCCACAGCCCGCACGGCACAGGGATGGCCTCCACGGGCTCTCACCTGGCGTCGGTACACCTTCCACTGGGTCTGCAGGATCCTGGCCGCCGTGTCTCTTCGCCCCTCGGAGCAGGTAGAGGGGGGCCAGGAGCCCTCCTTGCTTGTATCTGGCTCACAGTCCTTCTGAGAGGGCCTGCTGGTGGGAAGGGAAGGTCGGGGTTCTTCTGGGGTCTGCAGAAATTCAAGGTGTAAAGGACGGTTAAGCTGGGCAGGGAAGATGGGGATCGGGTCAGGTGGCAGGATATCGGCATGATACAGATGAAGCCCGTCAGACCAGACTTTTTAATGTGGAGGAAAATCTGTTTGTTCAGCATGCCATTCGACAAACAAAATCTCTGCAGAAACAACGTGCAGCTAATGAATGGATTGAAGGTCGGTTTTCATGCCCCTCCCCAGACCCAGTGTGGCGGCGCTCCCCTGGGAGGACGGTGGGTGACACCACCTGTGGGTCCGATGGGGGCCCCTTCCATGCTACGACGTCCTTCCCGAGCTCAGTGACATGTGTGTGTTATTGCAAGGTCTACCTGCTTTTTGGGGGTCCTGTGTTTGGTCTTTCTTTTAGTCTAAGACTCTGATAGAAACAGGACCTCTGTGATTAAAGGCAATAGATTTCTAGCTCAGTTTTCACAGTGAAAAGAAGCAAGAACTGCTATGTGACCATTGAAATAACCCTGATTTCTACCACACTTGAGGGTCCAAATTTATTATCTGCAATGACATGTCTCAATAAAAATCAACACACTGGACTGGGGACTCGTCTGGGGACACGGAGACAGTGATTAAGGACGTCCTCCCTTGAGGAAAAGAATGTTCATCAGGGCCCCGTACCGACACGGCCGCCGTGCCTCGCACTGAATTCGCGGAGGATCCGGATCCCGAATTGCTGGGATTAACGGAAAGCGGCACGCTTGCGGTAAGGTGCTTGGAGAAGCGGGCCTGAGCCTCGGTGCCAGATCCTCCCAGATGTCAGCGTGAGGCCTGGTGCGCGAGGAGCCCACCAACCAGGGCCACCTTCCTGATGGCAGGTGCCTGTCAGTGCCCGGGGCGGAGACTGGGCTACAGTGACTCCAGCTCCGGAGGACACCGAAGAGACGATAGGGGAAACCTGCTTTCCTTCCCACGGGAGCGTCTATGGGAACCCCGAGCGGGCCTCTCTGTTAACCTTAATTAACAGAGAAATTAAGACAAGCAGAAGAATGTACGTTGGCTTCTGTCGGGTGCCTCCCAGGGGTCAGGATCACGGACAAGTCACAGGTGGGTGAGCCCTGCCGTCTCAGAGCCCGGGGAGCACCCGCGTGGGAAGAAAGGGGGCCCCTGCCGGCGATGCGGCCCCTGGAGACACGTAAACTCGGCTCTGCCACACACGTGGCAGCCCTGGCCTCCCGTCCGCCCGGGGCAGACAGTGGGCGTGGGCTTGGGGGGGAGCAGGGGGCCCTGGGGACGGACAGTTGTGCAGAGCGACTCGCTCCGGGATGCAGGAAAGCAGCCACAGAACACGACAGTACGCTTTACTGAACAACAGAAATAGTTTCCAGCGGGATCGGGAAGGACTCACGCTGTCGACCCTCACGCTCCCGCGAGCGCGCGCCACGACCCTGCCTGCCAGCTAAGCTGCGCCCATCGGCTTCTCCAGATCCCCGACTTTCAGCTCTCTCCTGGTTTCCAGGTACACACAGGGTCCTGCAAAGAGCCCCCCAGTGGAGACTCCAGCAAGTAAGCCTCCGAAGCCAGGAGCCAGCCCCAACGCCAGCACTGCCCTCAGCAGAAACTCAGCCCCGCTGACCGTCTCTGTCAGGTCACTTGCTATAAAACAGTAAGTCACCTTCTGAAGCAACAGAACTTCTTGGCTAAAGCGTGCGCCAGACAAAGCCCCGCCATCCTGGTGGTCGCCCAGGCATTTACCACATCTGTAGCCGACAGACAGAGGCTCGTGGGAAGGGATTGTGGAGAGGCCACCGTGTGTCCTCTACCAGCTCGGCGCTGTCCACCACACGTTTGCGTGGTGGCATCCTGTGGGGGCACACGGCAGCCACAGGATTGTAATACCTCGGCTGTTTGTGCTAATAGAGCGCACCTACCATCTGAGAGACCCCATCAACTGGGAAAAAGGATTAGCAAGGAGCCACCAGCCGTCCAAGTGCAGGGGGCACCGGGCCTGCGGGCGCCAGAGGGCTTGAAGGTGCTGCCACGGGAGCCCCTCACGGCCACACAGGCCACCTCAGCCGCAGCTGCCTCCACGAGGGGACGGGGACAGGAAGGCGGGCGCCCGCACTGGCCTCTTGCCTCGAACCCGCCATTCGCCACACACTCATTCAATAACACCTGGGCGAGCGCACAGCTCAGCGGCAGGCATGGGGGCCCCGAGAAGATGCCCGGCTGGAGCGAGCGCTCTGCCCGCCAGGCTGTGTCGACGTCACAGTCCGAAGCTTCCATTAAACACACAGGGCAGGGGGCAGGAGGTCCTCACGCAGCGTCACTCCTTCTCACCCAAGAACGGACACCCTCTTGTTGGACAGTTAAGACTTTCTGCATATGTGAAGTTTGGGGAAGATCTTCACTCAGCTTCACTATCTAAGACTCCAACGCTCATTCAAAAAAGTCACTTAACTGACAATCGATCAGTTCAGAACCCCAATTTGTGGACATCGAGGGGAAGATGAAGGGGAACTGGACTGTCACCGTCGGAGTCAGGAGAGCCGGGGGACAGACCCCGCAGAACCATCCTGCCCCGGCTGAGAGCCCCGCGGCGCCCACGCAGGAAATCCGAAACCCGGCTGAGCCATACCTTAAGACTCCTCCCCACAGGGTCGTCTCTCTCTTCCCTCCTGATTTCCTCCAGTTCTTGACACTTCTTCGTAAGGGTCTGAATTTCCTGTCTAAAGTGGGAGGGAAAAGATGACGTCTTACTCGTCAGCACGCAGTGGCCCACATCTGTATGTGACGGCAGGGACGGCTGACCGCGGGGCCGCCAAGGCCACCTCTCCCGCGGTGACGTGGGGCCCCCGCTACCAGCCCCCTGCACCTTGGCCGGCACGGGGTCCCCGCTGCGGGACCGCGCTCTGTGGCCTGTGTCAGCGGCCGGGCTGGCAGCCGCGGAGAGGCAGGGCCGGAGGACCCCCGGGCCGCCTGCCTCTGGCACGTGGGAAGAACCAGGCAGATCCTGGTGGCAGGAGTGGCACACGGGGAGCGCCACTTGGGCTTCTCAGCGCACGGTGTGAACGGAAGCAAATACAACTCGTTTCCTCGCTGCGGGTTTCAAAGGCGGCAGGAAAACAGCTCTTCCCTGCGCACCTGCCCTTTCTGTCTCCTTCAGTCCTGCCATCCGACAAAACCAAGTCACGGTTCTCCGGAAAATAAATATTCTTATTCGTTCCAGCAACCTGTGTCTTCCTCATTATTCTGAGAGCTGAATATTTCCACTCAGGGTTCTAACTTACTTTTGGGGGCACTTCTCACTGAGGTGAGGTTTGTAGAATGTAAAATCCACTAGAGTAAAGTACAGGATGAAAGTACAGGTTTCCACGAACTCACGGCATCATGCCACCATCGCCAACTCCAGAACTCTGCCCTCAGCCGTCCCTTCCTGCTTCCCCGCCCCGCACCCCTCTCTGTGACTTTGCTGACGTGCTGGGATTGCTCAGTGCGTGGCCCTTCCTGTCTGTGTCCTTCATGTGGCGTGATGTGTGGGAGGCCCGCCCACGCGGTCACGTGTGTCGGAACCCAGTCCTTTCTGTCCCTTCGCGTGGATGTACTTCCGTTTCTTATCTTGCCTCAGCTGATGGGCTGGGGGCTCTTTCCCCTTTTTGAGGCGTGAGCAAGGACACACTGATGGTGCGGGAGGCACCGTCCCGGGAGTCCTGACCAGGGAGGCAGCAGTGAAGGGTGCGTGCAGAGGCAAACCCCAGCCTGGTGGGAAGAGCCCTTTCCCAGAATTGGGACTTTTCCTCCAAAGGACGCGAAGAGCCGCCACAGGATGCCAGGACTTGGAGTGGCGGGCTCAGGCTGGGGCAGCCGTGTGAAATCCGCTGCAGAGCCGCTCAGAGGGAAGACAAGAAGCGCCTGGAGTCCAGTGATCTCCTCACAGCCTGTGACTCTGGGAGCACTCACCTCAGAGCCTCCTCTCTCCCTCTTCTCTCCTCCTCGCCTCCCTTCACATGCTCCAGCTCCTTCTGCAGGTCAGTGTTGGTCTGTAGCAGCTGCTTGACCTCCAACCTGAGCACACAGAACCAGAGACATTTCAGCATTCGTGAAAACAAAGTTACGCCAGTGATCACAGAGCAGGAAGACCTTTCCAAAAACATCACACGCCCCCCTTCCTTTCTTATGACAGTGGATGGACATGGGGCCAGATGGGCAGAGGCGCTCGTTTACCACCACGCAGAGCCAGGAACAGACCCGACAGGCCTGCCACTCCGGCCGTGGTTCCCCCAGATATTCGTGTCCGCGACTGTTAGGTGCCCAGGATACAGGGTGAGGAGACGCAGACGAGCTGCAACCCCAGACAAGCTGGAATATTTCATTATCCCAGTAGTCACACAATTGGTACATAACCCCTGAGATGAGTGCTTGGAGGGTCCTGTCCACACCGCATGGGGCTGCTGCCTGAGCCGAGCCATCGAGGATGGAGGGGTGACCCAGGACCTCCAACTAAACTGCTTCCCACAGGGCTTTCCTGGGTCCCACAGGTGGCACATGGCTAAGAACACCGCTCCAAGAGGAGACCTCAGTCTGAGCTCAGCTCCACTGCTCACTCTCGTGTGACCTCACTTTTCAAGGTTCCTTAATCTCATGAATCAGAGGAAACACCTTGAGTGTTCCACAGAGTGTCTGTCACCGAGCAAGGGCTCAATAAGTGGAAGCTCTTATCATGCCAGGTGACAGCTGAAGAGATGATCAAAATGACTAGTCCAATTTTGAAAACCTTTTCTGAAACACTAATTCTTACAAAGAACCTACCAATTCACATAGATGCCCTTGGATTGGAGGAGTAAGAACAGGTGGAATGTGAAAGGATTTTCCTCTGCTGTAAACAGAAGGCAGCAGAGAACTTAGGAGGCGAGGAGTCCGCTAGGGAGTCCTTCTCAGACCTGAACGTGCACATGAATCACCAGGGGGCCTCATTAGACACAGAGTCAGATTCAGGAGATCTGGGTCTGACAAGGTTCTGCATCTCTCACCAGCTCCAAGGTAAACAGAGCCTAGATTCTGCATCTCTAACCAGCACCCAGGTGGGCCTAGATTCTGCATCTCTAACCAGCTTCCAGGTGGGCGGGGCCTAGATTCTACATCTCTCACCAGCTCCCGGGTGGGCGGGGCCTACAGTCTACATCTCTCACCAGCTCCCATGTGGGCGGGGCCTAGATTCTGCATCTCTAATCAGCTGCCAGGTGATGCTGAGGCTACTGGATTCCCAGACCATACTCTGAGAGACAAACTCCATCTCAGAAGACACATGGGTTTGGCTCATTCATGACAGAACTGCAACTAGAGAAGCCACAAGTAAACAGTGGAGGAGACAGGCTGCAGATCAAGACACTAGAGAACAAACAGTGAATAAGCAAAATCTGGAGACTTTGCCTATCAAACTCTCAGGGTCACACTGAACACTTGACAGCATTTATGTCTTATTTGGCATTTAGACTGGAAGTCATAAACATATTACTGACTCTCTAAACCACTCTGCCTAAGATCTAACTGATGGCCTACCTACTTTACACAAATCAATGAAAGCAAATTCTTCTCTAAAAAATAATTTGGAAATCACTCTGGAATTCAGCGTGAACAGATTTAAATGATACCTCCCCTTCTTTCAGTGATGTAATATGGTCAATTAACGTCTTCTTTTTACCACTAAAGTGACTTCTACTTCACAAACAAGACATAGAAAGTTTCTGAATCATACAAAACTACAGCAGCAATTACTATGAGGAGCTGAGCGTTTCCCCTGAATTCACCGGAAGAGCTGGACTCTCGCCACAACCCCCTCCCAGGGGCATGAGGTGCCGGCTGTGCCCTGCAACCCACTCTTTCTCCTGCAGCTGCATCTGCAGGGCGTTCCGCTCGCCTTTCAGGTTCCGCACGGCCCCCCGGAGACTCTCACTGTCGTCCTCCCGGTCGCCCCCCGGCTGCCTGGGCACAGTGGAGCTGGACGAAGAGCGCACCACAGCGTTTGACTTGACCACTTCTGAAGCGTGCGGTTTGGGGCTTTCCATCGAACTTATTTTCTAGAGGCAACACAGGCATTTTTCAGACGTTCTTTCTCATTTTACTTTACGGTTATGAAACCCAAGGAAGAGACAGTGACCAAGGGAAACTTGTCCCAAGCACAGGTATGGGACCATTTGTGACTTCACAACCCTGGGACAGCTCCACCTCACTGGAGCCCGTCGGGAGGGGAGCCTTTTGGGGAAGTGAAGAGCACCCCGCCAGCAGAGCCCCCCCGTCGGGGAAGCGAAGAGCACCCCACCAGCAGAGCCCCCCATGGGAGGCGAAGAGCACCCCCACCAGCAGAGCCCCCCATGGGAGGAGAAGAGCACCCCGCCAGCAGAGCCCAGCCTGGGGCAGGCGGGGGGCAAGGTGCCATTCATAAAACAGAACACAGGGCCCATGGGAGGCAAATTCATAAGCTTCTTTTCTTTGTGCTCATTTACCCTAGTATTTCCTTAAGATTTCTACAATTATTTCAATCTCTGTGCTTTTAACCCTAAGTGATAACCCAGTTGTGCTGGCTAAGAGCCATGGAGCACCTGCAGCTTGCCTGATGCCGGCCTATCCCAGCCAAGAAAGCACCGTCCCATGGGACTTCTGAGCCAACCCCGGCTGACTCTCTTCCTAACGAGCTTTTTTTTCAAAATACCCACAATACATAAAAACTTCTTAGGTTTTTAATGCTGTGTAAATATGTAAAATTATTTTGTTTAATGTTCCCCTCTAGGTTTACTCTGCTCAGCCAAACAAGGGGGCAGCTCTCACGATTTTGCCAGGCTACTCAGAAGATGTTGACACTTCTGACCAACTCCAGTAGAGTTCAACTGGTCACTGACCAGAGGAGTGAGATCAAATTTGCAAATTCAAATCTCCCCAGTCTCCTGGTGGATGGACAGTTTCTGAGGACTCAGACACACGGGCTGGTGAGTGACCGGCAGCAGAAACCCACACGCACTCATCAGGCTGGGTTTCTGAAAGGCTCTAGGATCACTGCATCCATCCCCGGTCACACACGGGACTCCAAAACCACGTGCCGCGGGACCGTGGCTTTGCCCCCTTTGACACCGGGGACAGGAACGGCACAGCCCGTGGGTCTCGTCCAGACCCGCAAGAAGTCTGCACTAGGCGCCATCTGGTACACGGCCACTAGTCATTCACACTTTCACTCTGAGTGTCCTGTGAGCAAAGGACTCGTCTGTGTCCCCACTTTACAAGCTGCCTGGCTTCTCCTCGAGCACCGGCTGGTCCGAAAGGACAGGAGGTGAGCGGAGAGGCGCACCACTCACTTTTTCCAGCTCTGCGATCCGTCTAAGCAGCCGGGGCTTACTCCATTCCACGTAACCTGACGGAGGCAATGGTTTTAAGAGAGATACTGCACACAACCACCCCGATGGCCCCTTCGGCCCGGACCACCTGTCTCAAGCACGGCCTGCGAGTTTCCCCTTCCACAGCCAGCAGCAAAGCTGGGGGACCCCCACCTGGCAGGTGCTTATAAGCCAAAGGGTGCCTCCCCGCGAAGGATCCTGTCCCCCACACCACAGCGCTGTCCCTAGTGGGGCATCCAGTTCTGATCCTACCTGTCAGGCCTGGCCCCATCAGTCCAAGATGGTCCTTCTCAAGGTCACATGAGTCCACTCTGCCACATCCTCCACCCGCCTCCCTCCTCCCAGCACTTCCCTCCCTGGTGCTCCTAGCTCCGCCAGCCACCTCACCAGCCACCCTCCCCGGTCGCCCTCTGCGCACTGCTGAGTCGTGTCGGGGGCTGAACCCCAGGCCCACCTCTGCTGCACTCTCACGGGTGCTCCGAATCCCACCCAGGTCCTCTCTTGGCCGGGGACCAGCTGCCGAAGCCTCCGCCCTGAACTCACTGATATGTCCTGTCTCCACTTGGACCCCTATTCCACACCACAGACTGGACCCGTTCCCTTCCCCCAGACCCGCTCCTCTCTGTCACCTCCACCTCAGTAAGGAACACCTGTCCTTTCGATCACTCAGATAAAAGCCCTGGAGCCTGGCTCCTCCCTTCCCTCAGAGGCTGCACCTGATCTCCCAAAGGTATCTGGAACCCGGCCACCTCTCAGCCCCGCGGTGCCACCCTGCTCTGGGTCGTCAGCAGCCCCTGCGAGGACACCGCAGAAGCCCCATCTCCCCACAGTCCACTCAGCACAGAAGCCGGTCTTTTCCCCTCGGCCCAAACCCCGGGGGCCTGAGCACGGCCTTCACAGCCCTGTCCTGCGCCTAACCCCGCGCCTTCTGTCTCATCGCCACCACCCTCCCACGGCCGCCGCAGGCTGGGCACGCTGGCTCTGGGCCTGGCCGTCCCTCACCTGTCCCAGCTCTGCCAGCTGTCCTGTCCCTGACGCCCCTGCTCACAGGCGCACACCATTGCCCCCAACACTGCGGTCTCCCCTCTGCATTTTGCTCCCTGGCACTTGCGACCACCTGACCCATGACTGGCAGGTTGCTTCTCATGCCCTCCAGTACGATGTCGCCCCCACGAGGGATGTCTGCTTCTGTTCCCTACTCTGCCCCACTCCCTGGAAGGGTGCTTGGCACATGGCAAGTGCTCGTTAGATTTTGGAATAAATCCTAACGTTGCCTGGCAGTATGTGTCTGCATTTGCGGCAGCTGAACCAGGGCCTCGGGGGCCAGGCGGGCGGGCCAGGACGCTCCCACAGCCTCTGCCCGCGTCTTCCCCTCAGAGAACACGAGCCGCGGCCTCTCCTGGAGCGTCCCTCCTTGGGTGGCTCCGGGGACAGTACCCTTCATGGTGGAGACGGTGGGGGAGTTGCTCAGCACGCGGTCCAGATCTTCCTTCAGGCTCTGGTTCTCTTCCGTGAGCTCCTGGACACTCCGGGACAAACTCAGGAGGGCGCTGCTCACTTTTTTCTGCCTTTTGAGGCCCATTTTCTTCTCCCCTGGAGTCCTGGGAGTAACAAAGCCAAGGGCTAGGTCTGAGTTCCTAAACTGGCTTCATAAATGCCTTAAAAGAGGGGTGTGCACACGGCAGCCTGTCCCTGGCTCAGAGTGCTTTCTGTAGGTATTTGCATCGCATAGGGAACACAGACTTTGAGCCCCCAGGAAGCAAACTGCTATCCCCCAAACTGGATTCCATCCTCATTTGTAAGCCTGTGGAACAAAATACTATATTTGATACCAGTGGTATATTTTAAACTGCATCACTAGAAAGTGTGTGAGAACTCGCTTTCTGTCGTTACAAAAATACCTGTAGAACGATTTCGCTCCTTATCCCACGAAGTCTAACATACAGCCAGTCCTCACTGTCCAATTTCTGTATTTGCAGATTTGCCTACTTGCTAAAATTTATTTGCAACCCTTGAATCGATACTTGGGGTGCCTTCGCGGTCGCCCAGGGACACGGGTAGGGGGCGGAAAGCCTGAGAGGCGAGTTCCTGGCGGGGTATAGGGGTGCGGATGGGGGTGGGCTCTGCCTTCCCCGCAGTCCCCACGCGCCCCCCAAGCGGCACCTCCACCAACTAGTGAGTGCTATTTCCCCACATTGGCGCTTTCATCGGTGATCTCACGGTTTAAAACCGCCCCCTTCAGCACAATGCTCAGGGGCTGCCCCGCGTTCCTAATCACAAGAAAGCACGTGTGCGCGATGCTGCTCGGGGCATCAGCAGTACCTACTAAGTAAGCCGTCTTTAAACCAGAAACACACACAGAAACAGGGTAGGTGACGATGTTGTGAGCTGAGGCTCGCAGGAACCTACTCTGCACGTCCCCCAGGGGTGATGGCTCAGTGTTCAAGCAGGTTTGTGTTGGGGGACACTTCATAGAACATACCTGCTGGGAACAGCAAGGATCAATTGTCCTTTACAGAAAAAGCTTGCCAACCCCAAAGGGGAAAAGGGAAGGCTGTGCCTGGCACAGGGGGAACACCTGATACACGTTCGCAGCTCAGGGCTGAGGCCAGCGACATGGCCAAATCTGTGATAAGGGAATCTCCGAGATAAGGAAACCCTGATGTCTCTCCTAAGAAACTCCTTGGGGAAATGAACCTGTATTCTTTGTACTTGGTATTAAAGGTCTTCTTGAAAAGGAAGGCCTGCTTTCAACAATAGCACTAACTGTATGTGGAAGCTGTTCCGTAGTGGGAGCGAAGGACTTGATGTGCGGAGAGTTGAACATGCTGTTAGTAGCCAGCACGTGGCCACTGGAGGGCACGTGTGTAACGGTCCCAGACGGAAACACGCGCACTCGAGCCGCTACACACCACCCAGGTGCCGGCTCCGAAGAGAAGGGTAGTGCGCGCCCCTCCCACATAACGCCTGCGCTGCTCTTAGGACCAAACACAAAACGTGGCTCCCGACGACGTGATCGTACTTCTTTCCTGCAGTTTCAGAGCTTGCCAAGAGAGTCTGGAGACGGTGAATCTGTAAATACCAAATTAAAGTACGTTACAATACAAAATGAGCATGAAGACATCCCCTGAAAAAAAGCTGTAATCAGATTCCTGATTTCTGCCTAACGGATGCAAGTCACACTGAGTTGCTGGGATTCCCGTGCAAGCTAAGGGTCCCCAGGGTGCAGCGGGAAGACTGCCCCCCCCCCGGAGAAGGCCACGCACCTCCTCGTAGTAAGTCTCCATGGCAATCCTCATCTCTTCCAAATCAGTGGTCTTCATATCAGTCTGCAGTTTGCTGGAAACCCAAGTTCAGAGTTAACACGGCGGTGCCGGCACCCCCAGGGCAGACCAAGGGGGCAAGAGCGCTTCCCGGAGCATCAGCCAAGGAAGGCTTCGCGAGAGAAGCGGGCTGGCTGGGAGCCTCGTGGACTCGCATCGAGACCCACGGGAGGATCCTCACACCCTCAGGAGCCCCTCCGTGTTGGACCAGCCACCTCCAGGTGCGGTAACAGACACCCTAAAGCTATTCCTTACTAAGCAGGAGGCTTTCTGGGAAGAAGCGAAGTGCCTGTGAAGGACCCGGGACCGGGGTGAGAACAGCTGCCTCTGGGGGTGGGCGCGGGAGCATCCCTTCCCTCCCGTAGCACCAGCACCATTCTCCCTGCCCTCAGCATCCCACAGACTTCAGATAAAAAGCTCTAGCAGACAAACGAAAGTACAGTTACAGAGCTCAGGATTCTGAAACAGGAGAAATCAGCAAATAATCAAAATGTTCACAGTTGACAATTTCAGCAAGAAACACAGCAGGGGGATGCTGCTGTACACAGGGGAGACCGGGGCAATAGAAGGACTCTCCTCTGCATCACATTACCGGGGGGACGCGTGCGCGGCCACCCCGGAGCAGCACCAGGACGCCGCGGGAGCGGGGCAGGCAGCTGGCTTCCCAGCACCGAGGGCTGGCATCAAGACCACAGACCCAGCGCATATCATCAGGCGATCCTCAGAAGACTGAGGAGAGAAAGCATTGCTTAAATGCACCAGGGATAGGAAAAGAGATGAAGGGACGATACCATTCTCGGTGACGTTTGGATGAGGGTTAGTACAAAGAGGAAGCTGGGACAAGGGACGTGGGACAGAGGGTGGTGGGGTGGGGACTGAAGCTGCAGTCTGAGCAGACAGAGCAAACACTGGTACTAGAAACGAGGCAAGGCGAGGGGCACGCAGGCTGCCTCCAGCCCGCTGACGGTGGGGCGAGGCCTCGGTGACCCTCCAGAGCCCGCTGCCCCCACCCCCCACCAGCGCATCCGTACTTGATCATGTTGTCCTTCTCCTTGCAGTGCTGCTCCAGCTTGAGGATCCTCTGCTTTAGCCCGTTAACAACCTGCCAATCGAACACCAGCACATCAATTTGACTGCTTCCATGTCCTCGACCTCCCCCTCCCTCTGGACACTGAGACTGTCCTGTCCCCAGGCTGCCAGCTGACCGGGCAGCACCCGGACATCCTCCCCCCGCTTAATCGCTGGCTTCTTTTGTAGTCTCTAGGTGCAGCAAAGCGAGGGCCAACTGTCCCACTGGCTCAGTGCATGGTGGCAGGGCGGGGCGGGGCAGGGCCCAGAGACGTGCCTGCAGGTGCAGAGCCCTCCCCTCGGCCACATTCTGCACTTCCGAGAACCGACAAGATGCACCGCCAGCACCAGATACAAAGATCCCCAACCCTGACCTGCCCTGGGCAACTGCATCCACAGTATTCCCTTGGGGGTGAGCAGAGCAGACAGAGGTCTGGAGGAGCCACCCCCCCACTGCTCGCCCACCTCATTTCTTCCTTCTATTAATGTATCACTCTGGAAGATAGCACCCTTATGTTTCTGGAAGACTATCCTTTTCTTTCTTCTTGAGTAGCCAAACAACTTTTTAATTGGATTTTAAGCAAATTTTAAATTATATTAGTAATCCATGAATACATCTTCTTGTAAAAAAAATTAGAACATTATAGACGGAACTATGCTCCTTCACCTTATTCCCTCCACTAAATATTGTTCCCAACTGAACCTGAATTCTCTAGACCCCATTACAGGGGTGTGTACCCATCGGCAATCGGTCGTTCTGCTGTGTTTGCAGAAGCAGCATCCTACCGCACACAGTCTGCCGGTCGTTATCTTCACACCACAAACGGTCTCGGTGTCTATCCCTCTTGTGCCTACAGATCTCAGGGATTCTTACACAGTACGACCATTTGGTGTAGATACCCATCCCTCTATTGACGGACCTTTAAGCTGCTAATACAAACAAGCCATCGGTAGACATCCAGCCCTCCTCATGCATGCATGCAAACGTCTCTTGAGGGGAGATGGTGACCAGCACAAGTGTCCAATCACAAGATGCCGTGACTCTGAAGGGCGATTTGGCAACGGGTCTGAAAGTGGGAACAATGCATTCCCGAGGATCTAGAATGTCTACTTTTAATCAACTTTAATAATAATAATAATAATAAACCCACAGCGGGGCGCCTGGATGGCTCAGTTGGTTGAGCCTCTGACTCTTGGTTTAGGCTCAGGTCATGATCTCAGGGTCGTGAGATCGAGCCCCAGGTCCAGGCTCCGCACTCAGCACAGAGTCTGCTTGAGATTCTCTGCCTCTGCCCTGCCCCCTGCTTGCAGGTACTCCCTCTCTAAATAAAATCAATAAAATCTTAAAAAAGAAAAATCCCATAGCGTTAGAATAAAAATGCAAAAAGCCCTTCCTCTACAAGTATGCATTATTTACATAATTCTAAATTGTCACCTAAATTAATCACATAGACGTTTCTGAACATAGCCGTACTGTTTTATATTCTTTAAAAATTTTTTTTCTGAAGGTGTGTTTTAACGTAGTGTTATTCTACTTTTAATGGTTTCTCTTCAATGTCCCCCTCCAATTGGGCAGCTATAAATACCCTTGTGTTAAAGGCTTTTTATCTTGGATTTTTTTCCCGCAGACGTGGCCCAAAAGAGAGCCGCACTGGACAAATGGCAGGCATGACTTCACGGACCATTCCTCGGCTCGGTCCCGCCAACCTAAAACACAGCATCCAGCCCGGAGCACGTTGGTGCGTTCTCAGTCCTGCCGACGCTGGTTCCGATCATCTTACTCATGGTAGTTCAAGTGAACGTCTTCACTCAAGTATGCACCGCGGGGTAGCGGCGAGGACCCAGGCAGATGCTGCCTGGCTGCGCGAGGCCTGTGGGTTCACTCTGAACCAACCTGGGCGAATCTCTTAACCTGTTTCCGGATTTTAAAACATGCGGATTGGGTCCCTATCACAAAACAATCCAGTGAGATCATGTACGACTACACAAGGCCTAGGAGCTGCTACTCATCTAAGAATGATTTTCTTGCGGAAACACTAGACGTGTTCTAGGCCCTGAGAGTATTTCCTTCGTGTGGTCGCAGGGGCAGAGCCCGGCTTCAAGCACTCACGCAGGGCCGACTGCTTGCTCTCCGCGCAGGCCAGCACCGGCCCTCCGCGGGCTCAGGCAGAGGACTCGGTCACACCGATTCACGTCCACCCCGCTCCCCCGTCACACGGATCCAGTTCCCGCTGTCGTCTCAGGGGTTCTGTTATAAATTTTAGGTCACCAAACCCGATAGTCACCTCACTAGTGTTCCTCATTCCTTGTGTTCAACGATCTCAAAATTGCATCCCTTCCAGTTTTCCTTTTGCATTTCGCCTTTCTAAGGAGAGCTGCTCCCTTGCCTCAGGAGGGCTGTGGGGATACACTTCTGTCCACCGCGGGGGCTTCCCGCCACGGCACTGGTCACAGAATGGCACTGTTGCCCGTCCCCCGGCTTCACTCCGTCCGCTACGTGCGGTGCGGCCCCACGGCAGGGGTGGCCCGGGGGCCGCAAGGGTTAACCCAGCCCCGCTTGGTTTCTGCACGATGTGTGTCTTGTCTCGGGTGTGGCGGGGGCCGCCCCCACTGGGACCGTTGTGCCCTATGATGTACCGCCTGCCCCACGCCCCGAGAGCGCCCGCAGCGTGTCCTGCTAAGCCCCCCGAGCCGGCTCCGTGGAGACTGGGCTTGGGGAGCTTGGGCCCTCGCTCTGTCCCCCCCAGGTGCGCCTGTGCTGGAGGAGGGGCAAGCCCCCAGCGCGGCTCTTTGGGCCTCAGAGGGAGGGTACCTGAGCTGCTGGTGACCGTACTCACCCAGCCGGCATCAGGCCTTTTCTCTGCCAGAGTGCGAACAAAATCCGGGCCCTGCGGTAAGCAGACGCAGAGATGAAGGCGCAGGCGGCGCGGCCTGTCCCCCCGACAGCCTGAGGAGTGGGGCCTACGCCGACCCAGCCCGTGGCCGGGCACCGCCACGCGGGGCCACAACTTACTCGGGATGGGTCCAACAGCTGCTCTATCTGCCGGTCCTTCCTGCTGTTTTCCTCTTCTAGGCGCCGGAGCTTTGCTCTCATGAGATCCACATCACTTTTCTGCGTGTGCAGTGACTGAAGGGAAACAACCACACACACGTACACTCGTGCACACATGTGTGCACACGAACATCCAGGTGAAACCCCCGTCGGAGCAGACCTTGCAAGCGGCCTGGTGCCCGGTCAGGGCCCTGTGTGTGTCGCAGGGGAAGGACAGCTGCATGTCACGGGGAGGAGCCCTGTGGGCACCCCCAAGCGAGCCTGCGTCTGTCACAGCACATGTCGCTACGACTCGTCAAAGGCTAACTAACGTCCACTTAAAATCCTTGTCCCCTGCTAGGGCTTAGGGGGTCACAGCAATGGCCTCACAAGTTTCCACCCATCTGGTGAACTGAGGAGAAAAGACCATGCAGTCAATTTCCCACTCAACTGAGTTGATTCGATCCCACAGCTGCCCTGTACTTGGAAATCTCTTCCGTTGCCTCATCTGGGCTTACATCACTCTTTTATGAAAGGGTGACGGCAGGGTATTTTTCATTTTTGTTTTTCACGTCCTCACTTGAAAAAGCTCTCTCCCAGGCCGTGGAACCCCAGAGCCCAGGGTGCACAAGCCGCAGGGGGCAGCGCCCACACGGTCAGCCAGCATCAGCCCCCAGCTGGACTAGCCAGCTATCCTGGAAACAGCCTTCTCCTCTCCAGGCACTCGTGGTGTCCTGGAAGAGAGAAGGCGTCTGAACAAAACCACCACCAGCAGCCGACTCAAAGCGCACACCCACGAAGGGAGGCCTGGCAGGCCGGCCACGCGCCCGCGGTTGGCTAGTGGCGCTCTGGGGCATGAGACGTTCCTGGCACTCGGTGAGGGTTTAATCAATAAGTCAGTTCATGCACAGTCGTTGAGAAGGAGAAAAAATCATATGATGGGAATTCTGCTTTGGAAATAGGGGCTACGCTCACTGTCCCCTGTTCCTCCTGCTCTGTACAGTGAGAAACCTTGGACACTATACGGGAGGCAAACATAAGGAGGCTCATAAAGGTGCAGAGAAGAAGCAGACTAGCTCAGGACCCAAGAGACAACCGCAGAGTCCCCCCTTGTGCCTCACACGCCCTCAGTGGAGTACGGGGGAAAGCCAAAGCCTGAACGAGCCCATGGGCACAGACAGGAAAGCCTCCTCTCCCCAGCAGGAAAGGGGAGCCTCACCAGGCAGAAAACTTACAGACAATAACGGCTCCACCTCAGGCAGACCGCAGAACGGAGCATGGCCCCATCCCTGCCAGTGAGGACTGAGTGCGGAGCCCAGCCCCCACCCCCGCCAGGCCCTAGCAAGATGCCCTGCCCCCTCCTTGCTGGGGGAGAGGGGTGGTCAGAGGAGGCCTGGGGGAGGGTAAGGTCTTTACTGTCCAGGGGTAATGAGGCCACACACACAAATAAAATGGAAAACTTAAATCCTAACATACCAAAAATTACATTAAGTGTAAATGATCTAAACAAACCACCTGGAAGACAGAAACTGGCAAAGTAGATTAAAAAAAACATGACCAATTATGTTGATTTTCACGTCGTGAGATAGGAGACAGAAGTAGAAGGATGGAAAAAGAGATGCCACTGCAACATTGACCAATGAAAGCGGGAGTGGGTCCATAGTATCAGACAAAGCAGACATCAGAGAACAGACACGGACGTCACGTAGTGACCCTAAGGGCCAATCCACCGAGGACACCGCGACCCTAAATGCACATACACCCAACAAGTGACAAAACTGGAGGGTAGGCCAGATCCACAGGTACAGTGGGGCCTTCAACACCCTTCCCTCAGCGATGAGCAGGCAGCTGGACAGAAAGCCAGCAGGGGCGCAGGGGAGCTCACCCTGCCACCCCACAGGGGCTGATGGCCCGCACACGACACTCTGCCTGGCAGCAGCATACGCACTCTCTTCCCAAGCCCGTAGCACAGACGCGAAGACACTCCTGGGGCCACGCGGCCAACCCAGACACACACGAAACCAAACCACACGGGGTGTGTTTTGGCCACAATGAATCAGACTACAAGTCAGCAACAAAAGCAACATGAAAATCTAAACTCTCAGACACTTAACGACCCAATTCCAAATAACCATGGGCCAAAGGGTCTTCAGGGAATTAGCACATCAAAAAAGTACATCAAACTTCGCAGGATGCAGCTGGACCAGGGCTGGGCGGAAGGAGCCCCTGGTATGGGCCGCCCGGGAAGGCTCCCAGGGCAGGACGCTGAGTGGAAAATGCCAAATGTAATTCCACGTACAGAACATCGCCAGGATGCCAAAATTATAGAGATGGGGAGAAAGGTCAGTGGTCACCAGGAGTTAGGAATGGTGAGCGGGGAGGGAGACAGCTACAAAGGGGCAGCTTGAGGGACAGCCTGGGGCATCACGTATGTTGACCAAGGTGGCAGGTACATGACTATACACACGTGGCAACATGGCACGGAACTAGACACGCACGGCGCCCATGTCCACGTCCTGGTTTTGACACTGTGCTGACAGGTGGGGGAGATTGGTGCAGGGGACTGTCTGTGTTACCTCTGCCACTGCCTGGGATGGTCTACACCCCGGGAACCTCGCTGAGGGCCGGGCTCCCTGGGACGGTCTACACCCTGGGACCCTCGCTGAGGGCCGGGCTCCCTGGATGGTCTACCCCCCCGGCCCCTGGCTGAGGGCCAAGCTCCCTGGGACGGTCCACACCCCCGGCCCCTGGCTGAGGGCCGGGCTCCCTGGGACGGTCTACACCCCAGGACCTTGGCTGAGTGCTGGGCTCCCTGGGA